CAGGCATGGATATTAAAGTGACGTTTTCAAACGTAAACACAGTGCTAAACATACGCCCGGGGAACGTAGAGAAAGTGTTTTAAAAGAAGCCTGAACCAACTTAGGGAGATGCCTGCCAAGTAAAACAATTCGCCTGCATCACTTAAAAAGGCCTTCGGTGGAACCAAATCCATCCCACACCCACACCGGGTGGGTGTGTGGAAATCCAGCTCTTCCAAACTAACCGTCCAAGACTAAAAACACAGAGACACTCTGCTTTTCTGCTGTTAGCAATGCTGAGACTTTACAAACAGAATGCACTTTGGCTGCAAAGCGCCATCCCAGGGCCAGAATCAGTAGCGAGTGTGTTCGCATGGTGAAGGGTCAAGGTTCGAGAGCTCACTGAGGATATGACATAAACTGAGGCTGGAGGTGATGCCAACCAATTTTGTCAGTTCTTGCACATCATAAACTTGGATTTAAGTGCAAATGTTTAACCACCTAACCATAGCCAGTAGCCAAACTTTAGATGGAAGCTAAATAAGCAGTGCAAAGTAGAAAACATGCTTTTGTCCAATTCCCTACCGCACTGTGCCTTCAACTTAACAACACACTAAGTTAGTTCAGTACTATTACACAATGCTTGAAAGTTCCCACCTTATTGTCTTCTCTTTTTTCTAATTAGTGGACAAATTAGTTGCTTTTCCTCATGAAGTTAAAGTATTTATGCAAGACAAAGTGAAAAATTTCTATTGTTTTCATGTAGCAGTAACAAGCAGTGAATTCAAAAATATTGAATTAGGGGAGCAAAAATGCAAAAATCCATTGGAAACTGTGACAAAATGTGAAAAAAAATTAATGGTAATAATATTACACAAGTTCTAATTTTAATCATGATGTCCATATTTCAGATTAATCATCTCTGGGATTTGCACCAATAATACATAAAAAAAAAGTGCAAATAAATCCCAGACTCATATATAATGACAATTTGCCAAGAAAAAACTCTGTGACCAAGTAAAGAGACTGCCGTGTGGGATTACAGGATTAGATTAGATCACTTCTTGGAACATTATGACTGGAACTGGCAAATTATTTACTTCCTGTGAACCACAAGCTATTGTAGTTCCAGAATAAGACGGCCAAATATCACACTCTATTAGAATACATGGAGAAATAATGAAAATACAACGGTCCCAATCTATGGATAAAGAGCCTCCTTGTTAAGGTCAGTTTGACCCCTCTGTATCCACAATAATATTTGATCGTCTGCTGGGAATACCCGGTAGTTTTTCCCTACCATTTCTTTAGTAGTAATAAACACCAACTTCTGTTTCTAAAGAAAATGTCTCTTGGATTGCTTTTTGTGAGAACATTTCAATAATTAATTCAAGCTCCCTTTTTTTCTGTCTTACCAAGCAACATGCACGTGTCGGCCCAGCGAACACGTGCATGTTGCTTGCATGCTTGCATGTTAGCCATGCTGTGCTTGTGGTTAAATAAAATCCACTGCCGTGTTTGTGCATTTCAAATGGAGTCCCTCAGAACTCAGTTGTGCGACCTGTGCTTTTCTTGATCTGGTGTCTGTTTTCTGCAGCCGGTTCTGGTGCCAGCTGCATTGCAGGCTCCTCTGCGTTTGGTGGATTACTTCTGCATCTCTTGAGTCCGGCCTTTTTGTGAAAGTTGGTGGGGGCGCAGTGATGAAAGAAAAAGGACAGACATATAGTAGGAGAGGCAGGAATTTCACCAGTCGTGGGCCAACGTTGGCACCTGTTTGACCTTGGGGGGGACATGGCTTGTGTAGCACATTTGGAATCGAGTCGTGTTGAAGACAGGTGTCCTACTGGAATTTGAAAACGCCCCGCTGTTCCTTCCTGTGTTACATCTCTACAGCTGGTCGTCCTGCTGAGGATAAAAAGGCTGAACAGAAAGCAGACACTGTCAGATTTCAGTGTCTGAAATCTCAGGCTGCAATGTAAGATTTCAAACACTTTCTGTTCTGTAAAATAATGTTGAGGTCAATGTCGGTCGAATATTTCAGTACCCTTGGATAAATCAGCGTTGGTCAATGGTGGGGAGAAGTCGCAGCCTTCAGACATGAAGAGAACCTGAAGAGAACCCATACATGAACACAAACTTCATGCACAAATGCTCACTAATTTTACTGGACCTTTGACTTTTGTCAGATTTAGATCATTGAACTACAAGTTGAGAGTCCCTGGACTAAACAGGAGGCGCTTTTTCTTCTTTGACGTCCTCAAGTTGGGAATTTCACTCAGAGTACTTTTGCTGTTCTCTCAATTGTTCATCCATAAGCAAAATAATAATAATAAGTCAAATTATATTAAATTAAACATTACCACTCAATGCCTGTGGGTGTTAAATAAGGTTTTTCCTCATAGATTTGACATAAGAGTTGTCTGGGAAGCTGTTTTAGTTTTCACATGTTGCATTTAACCCCAGCAACTTTTTTCTGAACCTTACTATTGCTACTAACGCAGTACAAGCCCTGTTCCACCTTTCCTGTTTATCTGTGTTTGTCCCTGCTGGATAGCTGATCTGCAGACAACCAGAGCGCACCAAGCGCCACAAACGCTTTCACAGAGAGACTACTGGCCTCAATATGTCCGATCGATCTTCCTGGCATCATCCACTCCTCAAGAGCCTTAAATCAGGCTGCCAACCCAGTCAGGGTTGTCCTGATGTATTAAGATCATGTTCCTAGATGTATTTTCCAGGGAAGGTTTTCTTCTTCTCCAGAGTAATGTGTTTAATTCAAAGCATGTTCTCTGTGATTTTCTCTCTTACAGCAGACCAGTAAGAGAGAAGAGGGGTTTTGGATTCACACAGTAGTACACCGGATATCCTTTCAGGAGGTTTGATTGCGGTCCGAAGCTGAACTGGTAACAAACCTGCAACCACAGCAAACGCAGCAGAAAGCAAATAGTAATGAACTCTGCGAAACCTCAAGATTATCCCCTCAAGCTGTCCGGCGTACAGTTTGGTTGCCCTTTGTAACCCCTTTAGTCTCCGATTGACCGTTAACTCTGAGGTCTTGTGAAAAAAAAGTGCACTCAGAGATAAAGAGGAAGCAGTTGCAGATATTTATGCTGACGGGTCTTAATCGGCTGCTCTACAGATGTGGGAATTATCGGCTCGGCTGTTCCCGGACCTGCTCTGTGTCACGAGGCAGACAGAGCAGACAGCACTAATGTGTGAAACTGATTATTTCAGTCACTCTCAAGAGGCCCACTGGAAAGAGGTAGACTGTCTGCTGGGAGAACTGGTTGTCTCCTGTCAGGTCTTTAATGAGGCGCAAGTGAATGTAGCAGTCACATGCACCGCTGGATTGTGAGAAATTCAGACCCCGGTTTCCAACTCCACCCGCCTCTCTCAGAAAGCCCAATTTGTGTCGAAGACAGTAAAGCCTTGGAAGAAGGAAAGCCGATCCACCAGAGCCACGTTTCAGCGTCTTGTCTTACCTACAAATTTCTACAAGTCACTCTTTCTGAAAGAGAGCATTGTGATTCAACCAAGGGCTGCCTACTCCTCTTGTGGAAGAGAGGGAAAAGGAAGCGGGGGTGAATATGTTCCACTGGCCTAAAGATTTCCCGCCTGGCTTTGCCAGGCTGTGACAAAGATGTGACGCATTCAAGTGCTGCTAGACGGTTATTGAAAGGATTATTGAAAAGATTCTAAAACCATTAAAAAATTAAACCGATTATCTATTATTCTTTTATTTAATACCAATTTTTAAAATCTGGTAGCAGCACACAAAACATCACTGGATGACTTCGGTGAAAAAAAAAGGGTAACATTTTCACTATCACAACATTCAGGTGATCTGAGACTAATAGGGATGCTATAAATAGTGGACATTCACTTTGTTCAGGAAGGCTAGGCTAATCGCAACCATACAAAGTCCTGTAACTCATTCAATAACATATGAATCAACATAGTTTTGTGTAACATAATCTTTCATTGTGTAGAACACACATACACTTAATGAACATATTAGGCTTATCATTCAAAGCTGTATGTTTTTACTGGTCATAAATAGCACCATAGCTTTGAAAGTGTATCCAGCAGCATAAGCTAATATATCAACAACTACAGATTCTTATTTCATTTTCATTTTTTGATTTAAATTAATTGATAGCAAAAATTTGCATTCAAGTAAAAGCAGCACTCTAACATATTTTTAAGTTTTTTTTCAAGTTTTCATTCTTCATTAAGAAATTACTCAAGAGGGAAAAAGGATTTGGTAAAAATTCTGTCTACTGAGTAGTTGATAATATCATAATATGTAGAAATGAAGTTGTCAGACAAAACATAGAGTCGTGTGCTAGTTCTGGTGTTTATAGACTAAAATGGAGAAAAAAAATGCAAATTGATAACGCAATCACAAAAATAATACATTTGAAGCAGAAGAAACACTCCTCTTTTTTTCATATATAAAACTAATGTAATTCACACTTACAGAAGGTAATGTATGCCAGGACTGGGTAAAGTGCTTTCAAATGACAATATGTTTACTGTATGTTCAGTTGACCTACAGGTCTTTCCTCCTCTATAGCATCTGACCAGCTACAAAGGTTGCTTATAATTTGAGTAGTATGATGAAAGTAAACCTTATAAATATTTAAAAGATGGCAAAAATGACAAGTTCAAGATATTTTTCTGTCTCATCATTTAGTTAAAAATAAAGGAAACAACAGAAATAGGTGTAGTATTTCTGGTGTGATCCACTGTTGCTCTAACTGGGAATGCTTTAGGCTCCATCTAAAAACCTGCTTCAAACAGAAAGACTATTCAGCCTGGATTATAGTAAGTGAAGGGCGAGAAGAGAGTTGTAAGATATTCACAAAACATATTTGAACATTTCTTTATTTTATTTTTTTTTTTACGAAGGAGGGGGGTTTTGTTGCCGAGTAGGAATATTTCCGACAGTCCATGAAGTAGTCAGGGAGGGATTTGTGTTGTAAGTAGGCGGGGATATGCAAATGAGGCGCAGATGCTCTGGCTCTGTGGACGGCGGGACACTTGCTGTTTTTGGCAGAACCAGAGCACGAGGAGAGGAGAAATCCCGGGTGGACAGACAAAACTAGCAGACCCGCATTTCCCACAGCTCCAACATGGCCTCAAAGTGCCCCAAGTGCGACAAGACGGTGTATTTCGGTGAGTAATGCATTGCAGAGGGGAGTTTTGTGTGCTTAAATTACGTTTGACCTATAATAACGCTGTCGCTAATTTAAAAGTAAACATTTTGAAACATTTGGGTCCATTATTTATATGCGTTGTGTTGTTTTTAGATTGTTTAATGCAACAATTATGTTTGTGCTATGGAGATGCATTGAAAGTAACACCGCTTTTTAAAAAAAATGAAGTTTAGAATGTGAGCAAATCTTCCCCACCATGCACCTACATATTTGGTCAAATTTTGTCTGCTGTTGTGGCTGTGATGAATTATCACTAGACTGGCGGAGAATATTTCAACTTTTCCCAGTTTTCCCAAAGGATTCCTCACTGAAGTCCTCAACATTTCTTTCACTGAGCCAATTTTAGGGGTCAGAGCCACTGGAAAGGTAAATGATTCACTTGAGCAAACTTTGTAAAAACCCAAAAAGAAAGTAAACCAACCCATTTTTGATTGGATGACCCCCTCTTTATCTGATCAGTGTGGAAATTTGTGATGTTTGTGCCGTCTGCTGCAGATCAGATGAAGGATTTATCCCGCTCTGAGTCTGATCTGTGGCATTTTCAATTTGTTGTGTTTGGTAAAGCTCCAAGCTGGGCTGTTGGCTCTGGAGAATAACTGTCAGAGACCTATTGCCAAGAGAGCCATATGCTATGAGTGTCCACTCACAGGAGATGGTAGGAAAATCATGCTGCGTCAGTGGGATGGGAACCTGGAAATGTACATCTTTTTCATCCTTGTAAACAAAAGTGAGAAATCAAAACACCCACATGACGAGAGTTCTGACTCATACTTCAATACAGCCAGGATGATTACTACTTATATGCTCTGTTTTATGAAAAGATGCTTAGAGTTTGAGCTGTGCCTAGATTATAGGAGCTTAGATTCCCAACATAAACAGTAATTTACATCCTCTGCTCTTCATGTGCATCCTACTCTGTTGATTTTTTTGATTTTTTTAATTTTAGCTTGTGCTGTTGATTATTATTTTTTGTTTTATAATCCACTGTTTGTGTTGGAAAAAACACAGAAAGCACAGCTCTACGCAATTCGCAGTGCTCATCAGTGGGGGTCAAAAGCAATTATGTGAGTGGATGGAAGGACTGTTACGTAACAGAAGCGGCCCAAAGCACACATCACAGCTGCTCCTCATCCTCCGGGTCCTGGGAGTCACTGGCCTGGAATAATATCCCTACAAATAAGATTTATTTACAGATTTCAAACATATGAGTATTCACTTCTCTGTGTAGCCTTAATTCTCTGCATCATGCGAGTCCCAGGTCCCCATTGGTGCACGTTATTTGTCTTTATGTAACGCACTTTGGTCCGGGTCAGTTATTTTTGCGTGAGGTGTGTCTTGTTGGGTGGAGCAAGTGATGAAGATGATGAAGGGATCATGGGGGAGTGCTGGGAGGCGTTAATGACAATAGAGCACGGCTGTGAAATGCGTAAGGGGGAATGGGAGAGGTCAGGGTGGGAGTAACATTTGTCCTGCAATAACAGCATGCCTAATGACTGTCAGATACTGCAAAATAAGTTCAGCAGCGCTACCTACGCACACTCACACACACATGCTCCTTACAATTACATTGCCCATGAAAGAGGTGAGGAATTCTGAGCAGGGGCGAATGAACAAGTCTGCAGGAATGTAGAAGTTACAAAGCAGACATGAGTGGGTGTGATGATCAATCCTTCTGTCCATTGTGTTCTCCTTATGAGGTTGTGGTGCTTCGAAGGTAAGAAGTCAAGAAAGATGTAGAAGACTTCTCCCCAGAGATGCTCTCCAGCTGAGTTTCAAGTGGCTAGAAAACCTCCAGAGGGAGATATTTTGATCAGAGGCCTGAACTATCTCAGAGGACTCCTTTTGCCCTGGAGGACTGGTGACTTTACTTAGATGTCCTTAGCTTATCTCCGACCGTCTTCTTTCCAGTTCTTTTGGACTTGATCCATCTCTTATTAACATCGGAGAAGATTGGATGGTCGTAAGAAATGTAGAACCTCCCTATTTGGCTCAGCTCTTTCATCAACTGACTCCTTTCTATGTGGAGGGGCAGTGGCTCGACTTTGAGACCAAGACATTCACCTTATCTCTAAAGCCAAGCCAACCAATGAAGGAAGCTAATCTCAGTCATTTATATGCAAGGTGTGTTTGTTTTGGTCATGAACTATGTGTCATGTTGGGGTTTAGCGAGACCAGTATTTTTAGATCTTTGTTTTTTGGTCCTTTTACAAATGACTTGTTGATGCATCGGAAAATCGAGAGCTTTGCTCTTTCGACCAGATTTTTCTTTGTTTGAGTCCTTTCGATGTGGAAGAGCAGCAGCTCTTGTCAGAGCTCCCCTGGCTATTGGAACAAGTTGTCAGTCTTGAGGTCATTATCTGAATCTCACATGGATCATGACTCCTTGTGAAGGATGAAGGTCTTTACCTAGACCTCCTCTGGAATGGTTGAGTTCCTGACCATATCTAAAAGGGTAAGTCCAATCTCCCAATAAATGAATTATAGCCCAGCTGTCTTTATCCATTCCACTATCATTCGTGGTAGATGTCAAGGAACTTGAACTCTACCACGGAGACTGACCTCCTAGTCCATCTTTTTCTTCAGAACTTTAGGTTTACTCTCAGAGCTCCTTAATATCCGGTTTCAAAATGCTTTCATGCTGAAGGTCATTGGCTGAGGATGCCAGTAGAACCGCATCATCTGCAAAAAGCAAATATGATGCAGTGAACTTCCCAAACAAAGACTCTCTTCTCTCCATGACTACACCTTTCATTTTGAAAATGTTCTTAAAAGTGTGTCATTGGTGGAGAAAATTGTCTATTTCCTGTCTTGCTTAGCTCTATTTTTTCTTCATGTGTTGTTGGTTTGGGATGTGATCTAAAAAGCTCCTACTCGCCTCCCCTGTAAAAACCCACCTGGCCCTCCATCTGGTTCCCTCAGAATGGGGGTTAAGCAACAGTAGATCCATTATTTAACTCCAAATATTTTTTTCTACATCTTTTCTAAATAGAAATGCTTTTTGAAAGGGCAGTGGTGAGCCGCGGCTGGGATGGAAATTCCTCTGGTTTTCCGTTGAAGCTTTATTGGGCGCTGACGTTTTAGGTTAATTGCAACTTGAGTGGAAAATGTTACCTCTACTTCTGGAGTTTCTGCTGCTTAAAATGCTGATTTGCTTTCAGGGACCCCAAATGAAAAACGTCAGGAATTAAAAAAAAAAAAAGGAAATCCCTCGCCAGAGTTGGTATTGAAAGAATGCGGAGGTCTCAGGGGATTGTATGGGTGTGTTTGGTTGAATTTCACATGTCCGCATTGTGGCCTCGCATCTGAAAGGGGACAGAAATGCTTGCAATAATATACCAGGGGGACTCTAGGCAGACATGCTGCCAGGCTCAGTGGGAATTCAGGCCATGTGATGGAGTCCAAGCCTGAATTCAGCTGATCTGTATCGTTTGCACGACAAACAGGGGCAATGCATCTTTGTGCCACTAACTGAATAAACGAGGACTTAATGGGAACTAATGGAGCTCCTGTGCGAGCTTCTTCTTTCTCTCTTTTATCCACCGACTCCTCTCAGTCTCTTGGTGGCGGCCCAGGACCTGTAATTCCTGCTTCACTTTCCTTTCCGCTCTAACTGCACGGAAAGGGGGAAGCAGGGTGAGATGGTTTTGCCTTTCTTTAAGCAGAGACTCCCTGAGTGCTTCATGCATTCTAATGAGAGGCGACATCTCTATTCACACAGGGCTGTTTCTGTCTCTGCGCACGGTTCTCTTTCCAGAGAGCCCGACTACCTTCGTCCGACCGAGGGGGAAAAGGCCAGCGGTCCGTTTCCCACACTCCTCTATTCCCACTTTTATTGCGCACAATACACCTTATTTATCCCACCCCACTTTTCTGTCAACGCTAGAGCACCCTGTTTTCCACTTGGCTGCCCAGCGGGCTGGGTAAATGTGCTTTGTCGGTTATGTAACATCTTTTTCTTTTCTTGAGGTTTTTTCCTCCCGCTTTTTTGGAATTGCATAACCCACCAGCTCCTGTGCGGCAGTCACCAAGGGTCCTCTTTCTCTGCCTTTATGAGGCACAAATATGATCCTCTAATGGAGATGACATTAAGCTCTGTGCTGACGGCTCGTCTTTTACCACTGCTTCGCACACAGGTACAACCATTGCTGCGGTTTCACTTGTTACGCAACAGCACAGAGGAGCACAGTCGGTTGTTCATCCTAATGTACAGCGTATTCTCCCTGTTCTGAAGTGCAATAAAAGATGAGGTTGGCACAAATATTAGTAAGCCTACTATTACAGAGTGCCACTTAATCTTAAACTGTAAAATCTGACAAGGTTAGAATATTTACATAGAGTGGCATCTCTTTTGTTGGAGATACTGAAAAGCCGAATCTTGTTTTTAATGCACACACAGGCCTGACACGATAACAAATTTAGCTGGACGATAAATAAAGAAATTACTGCGATAACCAATAATGTTGTTGAACTTGTTTTAATTAATCATGCGATTAATTAATTTATTGATTATTGTGACATGCCTATGCACACAGTTCCAGTTAAACTTCCAGCAGAGTTACAAAAACATCATATGTTTACATTTGTGATGGTGGGAATAAAAAAGCTTTTTTTGGCATATCTTCCACACAGCCAGCTGGCACCAATCATCCATCCATCGTCTTATCCAGCAAGGTTTGGTAGGGGAGTCGGTCCACCATCAGGACACATCCTGGATAGAACACCAGTCCATCACAGAGGACAGAAAGACTTTCTTCTAAGGTTAAGTTAGAGATTCCAGTTAAACCTAACATGATCTGTGAGGTTCTCCTTTCACATCCATGGGGAGAACCTGCTATTTCCCCAGGCTGAAACCCAGGACCTTCTTGATCCAAGGCATTATTGCAGACAATTGCTCTCACAGTTGGGATGTAGATTGTTTTTGGTAGTTCCAAAGACTTGGTGACCTCATTATGGTGTGTT